GCGGTGTTGACTAATGCAGGTGGTTGTGTATATCTAGCTGGCCGAGCCTGAATTCAGGTGTGAAAATAACACAAAACCAGGTGCATGCATGTGAGACTGGAGAGATGAGATTAAAAGAAAGTGTGGTTGTTGCCTCTCCACCTGGCCATAAAGCAGAAACCCACCCCCCCTCCACCGAGGCCTTTGTTTCACGGCTAATGGTCCAGGTTAATTGCACAGGTGACTTTCTGTGGGGGAACAGATGGGCTCAAATGTGTTCAAAAACAATCCCAGCAAGCAGAAAAAACTAAGAATGAGTTGTTCCTCTCCTCTTTATTCTTCCTTTCCCTTCTAATCTTGTCTACTAAAGTCATGAAGGGTGACTGCAGTGAGGTTAAACTCTCACTGTGTTCTTCTCTCACAGTGGGTTCAATTCATCAAGCACGAGGCCGGTAAGCTCTCATTAGATCTCATTACAGTGCAAATGAGCCTCAGGAATTTGCTAGTGGAAGGATAGTGGATAGTAGTGGATAATAGACAGCTCTCCTATGCCTTATGTTGAGAGACTTTGATTAGAGCAAAGTATTTTAAGTGAATAGAAATTTAGAGGATAGTGGAAAAAAAATAAGATTGATTGAAATAAATCTACATAAATAGCTTTTTTTGTTTTAGCTGACCAACCTGTCGTACTGGTGCTAGCACTTTGAGTCATGGCATACGGGATATCATAATTTGCCATTATATTAGAAATCCATACTTGAAGCCAGAAGCTTTTTAGGATTCTGAGAATTATTTGTCTCTTTTCCCCTCGATGAATCATGAAGGCAGCATGTGAGCCATCAGAAATTGATTTCTCAATTGATCCACTGTGGTTTTTCTCCCCAGAAAAAAAACATGCAGGGGGTGACAGATAGCAAATTGAATTTATGAACAGGCATTGTTGACACTCCTGTGTAATTATAGCAGTGCCATGCCTTTGGTGCATGGTACATGTTTCTCTTTTTTCTTTTTTGTTTCGAATAATTATGCTTCGTCACATTTTCAAGGTGACAGCTGCTCTTTTACATTGCAGTGCATATTTTGAGTGTTGTAGATGACTGATTCTAATTGGCCGTAGTTAAAAATAGATGTTGTTTTTTTGTTTAGTTTGTGTACATTATGTAAGCTTTTTAGTTCTAATTGGTCATTGACTGACAAGTGTTTTGAAGGAGGCGTCAGTGATGCATCGGATTTCTGCAAAACTTGCAAGAACCATATCTCAGTTAATTCATCGTGAGCATCCACGTCTGAGTCTTTCTCCCTCTTCCTACCTTTACATTCCTCATGCTGCGTTTGTTAGTAGAACATATATTTGCTTGTGGCTATACTAATCTGCAATAAACATATTTATTTAGCTACTAAACAAACGTGAAACAGGAATTTGTATCACATGAAATGTGAGTCCAGGCTGCAGTATATGTTTTAATTCAATTCAATTCAATTTTATTTATATAGCGCCAAATCACAACAAAAGTCGCCTCAAGGCGCTTCATAGATACAGAGAAAAACCCAACAATCATATGACCCCCTATGAGCAGCACTTTGGCGACAGTGGGAAGGAAAAACTCCCTTTTAACAGGAAGAAACCTCCAGCAGAACCAGGCTCAGGGAGGGGCGGGGCCATCTGCTGTGATTGGTTGGGGTGAGAGAAGGAAGACAGGATAAAGACATGCTGTGGAAGAGAGACAGAGGTTAATAACAGATATGATTCAATGCAGAGAGGTCTGTTAACACATAGTGAGTGAGAAAGGTGACTGGAAAGGAAAAACTCAATGCATCATGGGAATCCCCCGGCAGCCTACGTCTATTGCAGCATAACTAAGGGAGGATTCAGGGTCACCTGGTCCAGCCCTAACTATATGCTTTAGCAAAAAGGGAAGTTTTAGTAGTGATTAAAAGTAAAAAAAAATACCTATCCACAAAGTTTTCAAGAAGGCTTTCACACCCTCGTGTCTTGCCTTGCTCCACTAGTCCATGTCAATAATCCCACCCCACCTCTTTACTTTGGTTCCCAGTGCTGCCTTCTGTGGGCGGACTTTGACTGTGTGTTCTTCCTGATCCTTCTTAATTCTTTCATTTGTTATCTTATGCTTACATAATAGTACATAATCAAGGATACGCTTGCAGTATCTCTGCTCATCCTTCTCCCATCCCTCCCCTACCTCCCTTTACTATTATCAAAGTTAAAGTGCCCCTGGGATTGGTGAATGATACTTGTCTTACTGAAGGTACTTTTTTCTTAGTGAAATAATAATCTTACAAGTTTAGTTTTTATCCCAATCCTTTTGACACCACATTGCTCTTTCTATCCCTCTTAATTATAAAATGTGATAGTGCTACTTGTAAATATAAGAGCCAATCCCTAGAACTCAGTTACAGTTGGCTCAGCTTCTGGGGCCAGGTACTACCTGATATCCAGGTGAAGTGAGGTAAGCAGGATCAAAGAAAATAAATGGAAACAGTAGATCATCTCTATCTGGGAGGTAAAGCTTCATAGCTTTGGTTGTGATCTTAAAGATTTAACTCTTTAAGAAAATACCTAAAAGTGCAAAAGCTGCCACCATGTTCCACACTTCCAGAAGCTTTAATAAGATCATTAAGGACCTCGGGGCTGTCTGTTAAGGTGTCCGCATAGGTGTTTCATCACTGGAAGGGTTTGTCAATGTCTTGGGTCTTAGCCCATCTTAACCCATTTAGAAAGCAATTTCCTGTGAGCAGGGGGGATCTTTCCTCTTGAGAAAGATCTGTGGGCATAAAAGGTTAGCGTTTCTGTAATTCCACACCATGCAGTGTACCAGAGCTGCTAATGAGAAGCAGATGAATATTTGCCTTAGGTTTAACAGCTCAAAATAAGATGAGTGAATTGCAGGAATAAGGCAGAAATATCTGCTTAAGTGGGCAATGTTACAGTAAGCAATGGAGAAAGTTTGCTTTGAGGATTAGTGGAATAAGTGTAGTCAAATAATGTGCAGTTTTCTCCCCGAATAAATGCTTACTTTGTCTTTGCAGATTTGTAGAATATATACACCGTGTGTGTGTGTGTGTTAATAAGTTCAGACAGTCTGAAGGCTCAGTTGGGAGAAGTTCTTGGTAAAGCAAAGACCTGCTCAAGTTTAAGCTTTGGACAGCTTAGGACATAGTTAATTGAACGCTGTGAAGTAACTGGGGAGAACGCTTCCCATTTTAGTCATTTTGGTTCTTTCTGTCTGCGGTCCTCTCCCTGAACCTCCGTCTTCTAGGGCTCCAAAGTCCTGGCCATTACAAATGATGAATTGTGCTACAGTTAAGCTAGAAGTAGGACGAATTGATCAAAGTGTCAGGTGCCCCCTGTGATGTTTAGGTCTCCACGAAGAAGGCAGTGAAGAAGGAGCTGTCAAAAAGTTTCTTGTACCACAGTGGTTGTAGATAAATGTTTACCTGCCACTTAACACGTTGTGTCAGACTCACAGTGTGTCCTTACTAGCCTACATAAGAACAAGTACCTAATGATCTTGGGATTTGATGTAGTTATAGAGGCTGCAAGTTGTTCAACACATTGTTCTCCAGGTCCACAGGAGATGAAACCCATGCTCCCCCTTTTTAACCAACGAGCTCGCTATCTGAGGTGTAGTGCTGCAATTTGAGATAAGCACTACTTGGCGCAGCTTTGGTTTTGTTCTGATAAAGCTGGTCTAATTAAGCTTGATTTAATCAGGATTGCTTTTAAGCACAGCACACAGTTGGAACAGATACTTTGATTTCAAAGTAGCCCTTGGGAAGAACTTGAGGAAGAAAGAGAAGGAATGAGATAGAGAGTAAAATTAGTGAGTACGACTGAAGAGATGCTTTTTTTAAAATTAGCACACGACATGCTTCTATTCTTAGTTGTACTGTCTTCTTTTACTTCCATGAATGATTGCAGGTGGGATGGTTTATTGCTGAAGGACAATAACAAAAAACATGCACAGGTCTCACTCGCTTCCTCAAATTATTTGTGTACCAATCCATGTCACTGTGTTTTGTTCATAAATTCAATTTGCCTGAGTGTTGTGTACACACAAATAATGAAAGATTGATCATCCTAGGAGTTGGAAAAGTCTCCACTTATTTTTGAATATTTCCCTTCGTCTAAGCGCAGTGCAGAAATAAGATGCCTGGACCCTGATGGTAAACACTGGGAAAGAGCTAGTTCACTCATATGCGCAAAAGAATTGATGACCGAGTCTTCAGCTCCACAATAACTCACCCTAATGATCCTAGTTTAAAATAATGTCTGTTCTGGACCAGAAAGATAAAAATGGTGCCCCTCTGACTCATTAGTATCAGGGCGTAAAGATAGATGACCCAGATATAGAACCTAAGCCTCTTTCTGAACCCAGTTTCCATTGAGTGGTGTACTGCATGTGCACAGTATGTCCACGACTAATCATAGTCTTGGCCTTATGGACATTTTAAGTGTCTTCTACCTGTCCCGTCAGCCGTCCTGGCTGCCTCCGCTCCTCCACACAACAGCGGGAGTGGTGGACAAGGGGAATGTTTTTCGAAGGCCAGTCCCTGTGTCATTGACTAAACAAGACAGAGCGCTCGGGTATTGAGCGACTCCACACTAAATCTTTGTAAAGAGCACTTAGCTCCCCTGCGTTAGCCACAGAAAGAATATCTGTCAATGACCATCACTGGATGCTTTCATCCTGAGGCTCCTCTAAACTCTAAACTAAACTCTTAAGTGTATTTTCCTCCTCCCCAGCTGTTTACTGAAAAAAAGGCAGGCTTCGGTGACAGGCCTCTGTCTCAATGCTCTTGCACTTGCAGGGATTGTTTATCGCTTATTCAGGAATAAAGCACTCTTTTATTGTGACCTGTAGTCAGAGAGCACCCACAACACGATGCCTAAAATTAGAGCCAGTGTGTCATACAAGTGTCTGTAGTTATTATGCACTTTACTGTGATAATGTACGAGCTGTAACAGAACATTTGTGCTTCTCTTATGTGCTTTCTTCCAGAGGGAGACGAAACCGGCGTGATGGATTCCCTGATGGAGGCTCTGCAGTCAGGGGCCGCCTTCCGTGATCGGCGAAAACGGACGCCACGCAACGGTAAGACAGACTGCCGACTGACAAAATACTGTATTTAGGTGCCATTGTGCACTTTTTGTTGTTTCTGTCAGTTTCACTCGTCTGCAGAAAAACCTTCGTCCCTTTAAGTTGGTAATAGCTTTCTTGCAACACTGCTGTCTATCATTTAAATTAAACGTTCCTGTGAAAGTGCCGTTCGTTCACCGCCTGTACCTGTGTGCGACTGTTTCAAGGATTCATTACACAGATACGGCGTTGATACGTGTAGAAACATATGTACATATAAACAGGGGGCACAGGAAAAAAAAGGGACGCATGTGTCCTAGTGTAGGTCATTAGAAATTTATTGCTCCTTTCCCATTCATGAAGCACTTAACAGTAGGGCCGAGGCTGATTTAGAGAAATCCTGGTGCTAATGTATTCCATTCTGCCATGATGAATAGGCCGTGCCCAGAGGAGTACCACCTAGTCGGGGCGCAAGGGTCAATTGATATGCAAGTCAGAGCTCTGCAGAAGAGTCACAGGTGCTGCTGTCTTCACACTGGCAATCATATTAGAAAAAAAAGAAAGAGGAAAAAATAAAGAAAGACAGTTGGCTGGCGTGGATGATTGTGCTGTAGATGTTGAAGAACAGTAACACAAGGATATATTTTAAAGGCAGACCAGAAATTGTTTTGTTTATATCTAAAAAATACATTTCAGGTTGTTTTTCCCAATATTTACATTTACAGACATATTTGCAAATAAACTAATATTTGGTGCATGATTTATGATATACTGTAATTGAATTAGAATTATCAATAGGATATTAAATATTGTTGGGTAAGTTTCGGATCATTCTTGTAATACAAAAGATGCAGTTCTGTCGCATTTCGTCTCCCCTCAATCCAACATGCAAAGAAGCACTCTCCAGAAAGTGCTTTTTTCCTTTGTACAGTCGATTGAAACCTCCTGCAGAGGTCATTAAATGAACAGTAAACACAACAATGGCTGAAGTGCTTGAAAAAAAACGTTAAAAGCAGAACAAACAGGAGAGCAGAACAGCTGGAGTTTGTTTTTAGCCTAACACGACCTGTAGCTGCACTTCCTCTTTCTTGCATGCATAGCATTGCCTTTCAGATTATCATGCAGGTTAGTTGTTGGATGAGTGCTCTACTTTAGTAGCGTCTGCCAGTGGTAGATATGAGCACCTGTCCCTGCAGTGTAAAAAGATGTCAAAATTAAAGACATCAAAGAAAACAAAAACTGCAATCTGGAAATAGACAAATTGCACTTGTAAGTGTTTAAAATTAGGTTTGAGGTTAGATTTTAAATTGTAAAAATGAATTTGCATATAATGCCAATGTCATCGTGTTATTTTTGACCATGGGTCTGTCTTTCCTGTGTTCTGATGATTCGTTTTATTTACATATTTATGTTTGCTCATACTAAATAGGTATAAAAATCAGTTTGCATTTCGCAGGAGTAACACTCTACCTATGTGACCCAATGCCTCTCTAACCGTCCCTCTGGATCATCCACAAGTTATATAAGTGAAACAATTGTGTGTGCATCTTTTATAAAAGAGCAGAAGATTATATAGAGTATATACTCTCATAATATATTATAAGAGTAGAAATATATATAATGACAAATTAGACATTACTTTTGAGTGCACATTTGATTTAGATTAGGGTCAGTTATACTAGAACATTTGCCTTGACAGAGTTATTCTAGTGTTTTACAGCTCAATCATCCATCCTCTCAGTCAACTGTTTTATACATCAGAGAAGAGGCTGAAACCTGTTGCAGCTGACACTGGCGGATGGGCATGGTGCACCCTGGACAGGTCACCAGTCCATCACAGAGCGACTGTAGGAGACAAAGCACGGGGACAGCATGCTTTCTCCACACAGGCTGAGGTTTAAAGCTACAGTAAAAAAAACTCGTACTATTTTTTAACTACGTTTTCCACATATAACAGACTGTATAACAACAAACAAACACACCCACACTTTCTTCTTGTCTCAACAGCTATAATACTGCTCATCATTCTATAAACAAAACCTCCTCCATTCTTTGCCTGTAACGTTTTCATTCCATATTTCTGTTTTGGGGTTTGTTGTGAGCCGGTGTCTGAATGTTTGGGCAGGTGTGTTAGCAAACCTAAAGGATTTTTTGCCAGACTTCTTCTGCCAATATCTGAAATGTGTCACTTCTGATGCATTTTTGTCTGTTTCCCTTTTTCTTCATTTTTGCCTTCTCTATCTTCTTTTCTTTCTTTCCTTTTTTCCCCCCCCAAACATTGTTACAGGTGATCAAAGCCCTACCAGTCCAGCCCCGTGGTGGTCGGGTGCTAATTATGGTAACAGAACTCTAGGTGTGTGTATTTAACTATCATTTTAACCCAAATACCACCTTTCCTCTTGCTGCACTTTTCCTGGCTGCATACCTTGCACATCCTTCCTGTTAAACACTCAAGCTGAGCTGGTCTACAACACGCAGAGTCCTGTGCTGAGCATTTAACCGAGAAAAGATTGAAACTGTCAGAGTAAGAAGAGTTGCTGTATGCCAAAAAAAACTATGAGACCTCTGTAACTATGATTAATAAATGATTGCTGTCACCACATGTTTCAAAATGAAATAAAAATCACAGGACCTATAAGAGAATATCATTTGCAAAGTCACATCAAGTGCATAAAATATCGAAATGCAATGTTACTTATATTATTGTTATTTATACACCATTTTTGCACCAGCATAGGTACACATGGATGATCTGATATCGTCGTGTTGGTGTTGTTCCCAGATCATCATGAAAATGTTGTTCCAGGTTCAACATTGCAAGTGACCAATCACATTATTGTGACGTTATTCTTTTGCGCACCAACCCATTCGTGCATTTATGAAA